TATTTATATGTATATTGTTTTTTATACTTTTGCATAATACTTTGCCTTTTTTATTTATTTTTTAAGCAAAAGTTAAAGAACTAGAAAAAAACAAAAGTTCTTAACATTAAAAACTACTTAACATCAAGTTTTGGGTTTACTTTCAATTTCGGTTCAATTTGTTGTGTTTGTTTATTATTTTTTGCGCTGTATTTATTTGCTGAACCTAAATCGTGTATATATATACATATATATACTTTACATGTATCGTATATTTGCTGGCTTAGGAAAATGCCACGACTTTGAGTCGTTTTCTTGTTTTCAGTTTAGTCAAATATGGAGCTCATAGAATTTTAATGTTTTGAACTGTTTGTTTTTTGTTTTCTTTTGTTTTTGTTTTTCTACTAAAATGCTAATAAAAGACACTTTTTGCCAGGCATTTCAAAATTGCTAATTTGTTTGTTTGATTTTTCTCTCTTTTCCCGCCCCCCATTTTCACACACACACATACATACATACATACAAAAACCACACATTCTTTCTCTAAACTTTTACAGTTTGTTGGTAAGCTTAACCGGCTGGCAATTCATTGCAATAATACCCTGTTATCCGCTGCTGCATCGGCCGCCTACATTAGCACACAGCATTTGCGACTGGAGCTCGTGCTGTCGCTGACCACGTCGCCAGTGTTGCCACAGAACTTGTTAACCGAATTGGCGTTACCAGATGTGGCCACTGGCGCAGCTGACTCAAAGTCCAATAAGCTGGGACTCATTGCGCCCAATCCCAGTGGCTGCGTAGCGATCGGAACGGCGGCCATGTTGTTGTTGTTGTTGGCGCTGCTCGTGTTGTTGTTATTGTTGTTGTGATTAACCGTAGTGGCGGCTCCTAAAACAGAACCATTAGTTGTTGTTGTTATTGATGTAGCAGTGCTTGCATTAGCACCACTAGCGCCAACACTTGTGGATGAAAGCTCGAAATTGTTAAGCACATTGGCGGTGCGCGACAGCGAACGTTGCTTTTTCAAATTTGACAAAGTAACGGCACCCGCATCCATAGCAACATAGTGCTGAGAAGCATGTTGCTGGCAATGTTGCTGTTGCTGCTGCTGATGTTGCTGAAGCAGCAGCGCATGTTGCTGCAATTGCTGTTGATGTTGCTGCAGATGTTGCTGAGGATGTTGCTGCGAATGCTGCTGCGAATGTTGCTGCGGATGTTGCTGGCTATGCTGTTCTTGCTGATGATGCGTGCTGTTTGTGTCTACATGAGTTTGGGTTGTGTTGTGGGTGGTTTGGGTGGTTGRTTGGTTTATTTGTTGATGATGATGCAGGCAGGCAGACGACACAAAACGAGCGCAACGAGTCGAACACAAAAACAAAAAAAAAAAACATAAAATCACAAGCAAATGTTATTTAACTTTTTTTAACTTTCTTTTATATATAAAGCTAATGTCTTAGAACGAATTGTGTATACCCTGTAATTGTTATAGAGAGTAGTAGCTCAAGCTGTGTAATGTGCTGACTATGAAAGTACAATAAATAAGATTTTTTTTGCAAGCATTACCACTACGCTAATACCCCGTAGAGCTATATGATATATTAATATAATGTTAAGTTGTATATGATTTTTCTTTTTTTGCATTGCAATACCGATACACTAATACCCTTTAAAGCTAAATAATACGTTAACATACATTACAGTTAGTTACTCTTCTACAATATATACATTTTGTAGAGCATGCCGTAGTCGTGTTAGCCTAACTATTAGCTTGATTTTTGCCTTGACTTGCGTTTAAGTAGAGTCGTTAAACAAACATTAGACAGCGACATTTGACACAGGGGAGAAGCATTTAAGCGGCGATGCTTGATTGGAGCAAGCTGTGACTATGTGGGTGTGTGTGTATGTGTGAGTGTGCAGGTGTTGTATGTGTCTGTGTGCTTCTTTTTACGTAGCTAATGTTTATATTACTCACCTACTAGCACAGTGACCTGCACGTTGATCTTGCCGTTGTTCGCCGCCTTGGACGACTGAATCTGCAGCGCCTCAGCACTGGCCGCCGTGCCCTGGTCCGTCAATATGACCGCTGCGGCAGAGGTGGCGCGCTGCAGTTCGCCGCCGCCGGCGCCCGGATCGCCCGCCTTGAGCAGCTGCTCGTCGTTCTCGCGTCCGTCGGGCGGACGACGCGGCAGATAGGAATGTGTCGTTGTGAGTGTTATGTTGTCCACGGCATCCGCGGACTTGGAGTGCGACAGGCTGGCCGTCGAGGGCCGTTTCTCGGAGCTATTAATGTTATTGTTGTTGTTGTTATTGGTCGTGTGATAGGCATAGCCATTGGGCAGATCAGCGGCAGCTGTGGCCGCCGTGGTGCCGGAATCGGTCGCCTCCTGTGCCTGCAGACGCAGGCGAGCCTCCTCCACAGCATCCTTTTTGGTTGTAAGCGTTTTGTCGCGCAGGCTGGTGCGACGCACCGATTGGGCTCTAAGCAGAGAAAGAGAGAGAGAGGGAGTAACGATATTATACATACATATATCTAGATTTTATATATGTTGCTATAGCCTACCTGGTATTGTTGCTCTGCGAGCGCCGAACGCGCCTTCGTTGCGCCTCCGCCAGTCGTTTGCTCTCCTGTTCCGTCTTCAGCTGCTCGATGCGTTCACGTATCTCCGGATCCTCACAGATATCTGAAATAGTTGTTTGACATATTAAGTATATATATATGTAGGATTGGGGAGAGGCTTCTCAGCTTACCTGAAGGCGTTTCATCGTCTTTGTTGCGCACATTCAAATCAGCACCACATTGCGCCAGCATCTCCAGAACTTCCAGCTGTGAGAATAATGAGAAACAGGTTAAGGTAAGATAATTCCATATTCCATAAGCACCCCACTTACATGTCCCCAACATGCTGCTGCGTGCACAGGCGTCCACAGATCCTTGTCCATGGCATCCACATTGACGTGCTGCTCCAGCAAGAACTCCACGACGCGCACATAGCCATTGGCAGAAGCTATGTGCAGCTGCAAGAGAGAGAGAGGGAGAGAGAGAGAGAGAGGGATTGTCAGCATTCTTTTCATTCAGTTTGTTTCCTCTCACTCACCGGCGTGGCGCCTTGATAGTCTGGCTCCTCGAGATCCCCACCGGTGCGCGCCAGCTCCATTAGGTCCTTGAGCATGAGACGCTCYGTGGAGGAGCGCGTCTCGTCGATGAGCTCCTGGGTGACGCCCCGTTGCGCCATCTCGCCCTCAATGAAGTCCAGGGTGTTCTCATCGTCGCACAGATCATACGGCATATTGCCATCCGTGTTGACGGCCAACAGATTGGCATTGTGCCGTATGAGTATGCGCACCAGCTCCAAATGGCCGCAGGTGGCCGCCGCATGTAGAGGCGTCCATTTATCACTGTCCTGCGCATCCACATTGGCGCCATAGTCGAGCAGCAGCCGCAGCATGTCCACGTTGTTGTCGATGCAGCACTGATGCAGCGCCGTCAGGCCATCCTCGTTGGCCGCATCTGGTGTGATGCCATTCTGCAGCAGTGCCGCCACCTCGGGCATGTCGTTCCGCGACGCCGCCTCCAATAGCACCACGCTATTTTCGAACGATATGTGCCGCCTGCCACTGACCGTGCCCGAGCCATTGGCATTCCGAAAATGATGTGTGGTATCGCCCGAGCCGCCGTTCAGGACGGTGCCGGCGCTGTTGCTGCCGCTGCTGCCTCCGCTGCCCGTCTGGCCCTTGGCTCGCTGCAGCTTGAGCCACTCCTTCTCCTTCTGCCTGGCCAGCTTCAGCTGCTGAGCGCGCCTCCTGCAAAATGGAAGCTGCGTTAGTCTGCAAACTATTTTTATGGGCTACGCTTAAGTGGAYTTATAAATGTTTAATTGGTTTCATATTTATTTGCTCTAATGCGATTACAACTACACGTATCTCGCACTCTCTCTCCCTCTAGACCCAATCAAAACTTGGTCTACRACTTTTCATTTCTTACTTGGAAGTTCGCATTGCTCTCGCCCCGCTCGCAGTCAAAGTTCAAATAGTGTGAGATTTGTCCTAAACAGATTTTAACTACATCGAGCGTGCGTGACTTTG